GCTGCTCTAGGTGCTCGTGAGTCCGTCCCCCCTGGTACTGAGTCGACTGCCGCACTTCACACCTTCACACTGGACTCTGGTGCTTCTCGCTGTTTCTTTCGTGACCGCACTGTCCTTGAGCCACTCGCTCGGCCAGTTGCTGTCTCCCTCGCTGACCCCTCTGGGGGTCCGGTCATTGCGACCTCCTCCACTGTCCTTCCTTGTCCTGCGGTCCCGTCAGGCACGCTGTCAGGTCTCTACCTCCCCTCGTTCTCTACGAACTTGGTGGCAGGTAGTGCGCTCCAGGACGGGGGTGTTCACCAGTTCACCCCTGCATACGAGCGCGTGACGCACTGCACGTGTGCTCGGACGGGCCGTCACCTGGCTACCTTCACTCGGCAGCCGGGGTCGGACCTGTACACACTGACCACTGAGTCCCCTCAGGTAGCTGCGTCCGCGTCTGCGTCTGCGTCAGGTCAGCTGTCGGCCCCCTGCTCGTGTCGCTCTCTGGCGCATGAGACTGTCCTCTGGCACCACCGCCTTGGTCACCCGTCTGTGCAGCGCCTTTGGGCCATGCACAAACGGGACCTTGTTGCTGGTCTTCCTAGGGTTCTCCCTCCCAGTCAACGACAACAGCGACTCTGAAGACGAAGCGGGTGAGGCTAATGCACACAAAAATTTTGTTGCACCTGCCGAACATCTTCCTCCACTCCCATCCACCAACCCCACCATTCCGGCTTCTTCTTTTCACCACGCCGGGGTACGCGAGCAAGCCGAATTTCTGGAGGACCTGCGCGCGTACCTGAAGCACTCGGAGCACAAGATACGCCACGGCGACACCGCTGGCGCTCTCGAGCTCTTCGAAGAGGCGTACGCGCTCATCGCCGATCGCTTCCAACTCCTTCAAGTCGCCGACGCCTCCGACTTCAAGACGGCGCACCGCTTCAAGCTGTACCAGCAGAAAAGTGTGCTGACTTCGCGCCCTTTCAAGCAGGCGCTCGCGGATGTGGCAGCAATGAACCGCGCCCAAGGCTCCTACGGTCGCGGTTCTTCCCTTGGAGGCCGCGGTCCCACGGGGTTTGGCGGCAAATTCGGCACGACCCCTGGCTGCGATGCTAGGGGCTTCCGCGGCACCTGTTTCCGCTGCGGCCAGCCAGGCCACACTGCCAACGCATGCCCTGCTGGTGGGCACGGTCCTCACGGACCCGCACCGGTGGTGTAAACTCGACGGGGCGCATAACCGCACGAAGGCTATTGGCCGTGCCCTTGGGCTGTTTTTTATTGCCGGTTGGCTAGCCCTTGGGGGGAAAGACCATTTGGGGTCTAAGGCGTTTGCCTAGAAGCTCTCTAGAGCATCATGAAGTTGATCTTTTCCATTTATTTTTGCTATGAAAAAGTTTTAAGGGGAATAGACCATAGAGGGTCTAAGGGCACTTGCCTAGAAGTTCTCGATAAGCTCTATGGAGTTGCTCTTTCTATTTATATAATTTTTGTTGTGCATTTGTTGTGAGAGTGAAAAGAAGCCTTACTCAAGGATCTCTTGGTTGCTCTTCAGTTTCAACACCCCACGCCTCAAGTAGGCTTATTGAGGGAGGCAATTGAAGCCTCGAGAAACTTAATATCATGACACTAATATAAAGAACCAAAGGGCAAACGACCTTGCCATGGGCGGGAGCATAAAGTATGGCAGAAATTGAGAGAGAGAAAGAGAGAGAGAAGAGAGAGAGAGAGAGAGAGAGAGAGAGAGAGAGAGAGAGAGAGAGAGAGAGAGAGAGAGAGAGAGAGAGAGAGAGAGAGCGTGAGGGAAAGAGAGCGTCGAGAGAGAGAGCTCAACTAGAGAGTCTCAGACTAGCTAGCGTCTCTCGCTATCTCTCTATACTCCCGCTAGATCTCTCTCTCTGAGAGCGCATGGGGCCCTGAAGAAATTTATTACCACAAAAACCACAACCATTTTTTCGTTGCTTGAAAAGATTTATCCCCACTCGAGCGTCAACGCTTGCTTGGATTGAAAAAAAAAAAAAAAAAAACCCTAACTGTTATGTATTGCTTTCTGTATACTCTGCCATGTGCAGGCCTTCCGATGCTTGCCCTGGGGCACAAGATCACCCTTTCGAATACGCAGTGACGGATAGGACAATTTCCATCATGCGGGGGCGCTTGCGATCCGCATTGGCTTGGTGGCGAAGTTGGTGTACGAGCAGCCTTGTCTTATCATTATTGAACGGGGCTACTGGATGCCGTGGAAACAAGGACCGCCACAACCATTTCAGTGCTCCAATCATGCTGGAACCCATGCTCACATGGATTTTACGCGATCAGCCATCATAGATCTCCTTCAAACCGGCGCAGCAATCGAGGTGCCAGCATCGGAGCTCGCATGCATTAGTCCCCTCAACGTCGTCGAGCAGCGAGACAAGTGTCGCCTCATCCTAGATCTACGTAAAGTTAATAACGAGCTGTGCATTCCGAAGTTCAAGTACGAAGGACTCCCTCGCGTGGCGGAACTTGCACATCCGGGGGATTGGATGTTTTCAATTGATCTCAAGTCGGGTTACCACCACGTTGACATCCACGCGTCCTGCTGGAAATTCTTGGGCTTTCAGTTCGAGGGGTTTCGTACTGTTTCAGATCACTCCCGTTCGGACTAGCGACGGCGCCTTTCGTCTTTACTCAATTGATCAAGCAGTTGGCACATCGATGGCGAGCAACAGGGGTCCGCGTTATTCCATACGTGGACGACATTCTCTTTCTGTGCCACACAAAAGCCGAGGCTCGAGATGTCTGCACCCGCACGATCACGGACCTAAGAGAAGCGGGTCTCGTGATCAATGCAAAAAAGTCTCATCTCCATCCTACTCAGCAGCTAAGATTCTTAGGATTGGAGCTCGATACCCAGCGGGGACAATTTTCTGTCGGCACGGAGCGACGAAGCGTCCTGCAATCTACCATCGCTTCATTATTGGCCGCAGGACGTGCACAGCACAAAGTCCCAGTACGGCAAGTCGCACGTATCACAGGCATGCTCGCCTCCATGAACCTTGCCCTTGGGGCGACAGCGCGAGCATTCAGTCACGCATTACTACAAACCATCGATGATGCGCCTTCATGGAACAGCAGGTTGTTACTACCCCCGAGTGCTTGCGAAGAGTTGGAGTTCTGGTCAATCGAGTTCGACCACTTCAATGGAGCCCCATTTCATGTTCGCGGCAGCTACGACGCAATCATTCATGTCGATGCCAGCGCGCACAGCTGGGGGGCCACACTCGACACGTTCTCCACAAATACTCATAAGGCCTGCGCGAACATGCCCCCGGAACTACTTGGCACGTCCAGTACTCGTCGTGAGCTCGAAGGGGTGCTCTGGGCACTGCAAACTTTCACAAGCTTCATCCAGAACAAGCATGTGCTCGTGCGTGTCGACAACAGGGCGCATTCTTTATTCTTTATTCTAAAAAGGGTGGATCGCGCAATAGCTGTCTCACTACCGCATGCAAAGCCATCATTCGCACCTGCATGACCCGTCGCATTCGCTTGATCATGGAATGGATCCCTCGCGAGCTTAACACGCTCGCGGATGAGCTCTCGAAGACTCTCGACCGAGACGACTATGTTAAACTGTATTATGCTTGTAGGCTGTAGTGGGGTAGCCAATATGGGGTACAACCCCAACTAGGGTTTCATATTTGTACCCAAACTTCTGCTAGTTCAATCATTCTTGCCTAGCTATTCTGAAATGGTATTCAGAGCAGGAGGTCCCTAGGACCTACCGACCGTTTTTTAAGGGCCCACCACCGCTCGCATGCGGTTACCACGCTACCACCCCCGCTGCCCTAGCCTCGTTAGCGCCCTCGCGCACCCTCGTTAGCGCCCTCGCGCGCCCCTCGTTAGCGCCCTCGCGCGCACCCTCGTTAGCGCCCTCGCGCGCCCCTCGTTAGCGCCCTCGCGCGCCCCTTGCTAGCGCCCTCGCGCGCCCCTCACTAGCGCCCTCGCGCGCCCCTCGCAGTGTCGCCCGCCCGCCGAGCCGCCCGCTCGCAGCCCGCTCGTCCTGCTGCCCGCTTCGCAGCCCGCCCGCCCGCTCGCTGCCCGCTTCGCGGCCCGCCCGCCACGCAGCCCGCCCGCCCGCTCGCTGCCCGCTTCGCGGCCCGCCCGCTTCGCAGCCCGCTCGCTCGCTGCCCGCTCCGCGGCCCGCCCGCTTCGCAGCCCGCTCGCCCGCTCGCTGCCCGCTTCGCGGCCCGCCCGCCCGCTCGCTGCCCGCTTCGGCGCCCGCCCGCTTCGCAGCCCGCTCGCTCGCTGCCCGCTTCGCGGCCCGCCCGCTTCGCAGCCCGCCCGCCCGCTCGCTGTCCGCTTCGCGGCCCCCCGCCCCCCTCGCAGCGTCGCCCGCTCGCCCCGCTGCCCGCTTCGCGGCCCGCCCACTTCGCAGCCCGCCCGCGCCGCTCGCTGCCCGCTCGCCCCGCTGCCCGCTTCGCAGCCCGCTCGCCCCGCTGCCCGCTTCGCAGCCCGCCCGCCCGCTCGCTGCCCGCTTCGCGGCCCGCCCGCTTCGCTGCCCGCTCGCAGCGCCGCCCGCCCGCCCGCTACCTGCTTCGCAGCGCCGCCCGCTGCCTCACTGCCCGCTTGCTGCGTCCCCTCTGCTGCTGCCGCTGCTCTGCTGTGCCCTCACGCCTGAGCTATGGCCTCTATTCGCGTTCTTTCCTTCGATGCTGAGGGCCGTCCCGTGCAGTTCACTTCCTGGCTCGACGACCTGCAGTTGTATCTTATGAGCAATAGCACGGACCACATCTCCCTCTATGACTACTACGCTCTGGTGCTGCCGCTGCTGCTGCTGCACAGCCGAGCTTATGTTCGTTCCCACTGCAGACTCGTGACGCAGCTGCTGCTCGCAGCTGCTGCTCGCCTAGTCATTCGAGTCAACTGCTCCGCTAGCTGAGCTCGAGCATTTTGGCGACTGCAAATCCGCTAAGGCCCTGTACGATGCTGTCGTTGCTCGCTACTCCTCGCCTGCCACAGCCGAGCTTAGCCGCCTCATGCTGCCGTACCTGTTCCCCGTTCTAGTCCGATCTCCATTACTACTACAGTCGCCGATCTTATCACCCACCTTCGCACTAGTGATGCTCGCCTGCGTGCCGCCCTTCCCACCGAGTTCTGCGCTAAGAACCCCCCTCCTCTGTACTGGACACACTCCACTTCATTGTCACCCCACCCCCCTCTCTACACCCTCCGCTCAGTTCGAGACCACTTCCTGCTCGATGTCCCACTCTCACTCCCGCTGATCACAGCTCGAGCGTCCTAGAGACAGCTGCTCGCGGCCGAAAAGAGCATTGTAGCTGTTGGTGCTGCTCGTGGCGCTCCTCGCACCCCCATCTTTGAGGGGTGTTCTCCCTCTCCCTCTCCCCTCGCTCCCTCCTACGCTGCTGCTGCTGCTGTTGACTTCCTTGGTGCTGAGTCTGTTGGCGCTGCTTCTGCTCCTGGTGGGAGGCGCCGCACCGGCAAGGGCAAGGGGGGCAAGGGTGGTGGTGGTGGCGCTGGGGGGGGAGGAGGTGGGGGAGGTGGGGGGGGAGGCGGTGCTGGAGGGAGCGGTGGCGGGAGCGCTGGTGGGAGTGGGGTCGGTGGTGGAGGCGGGGCGGCGGCGGAAGCAGTGAGGTAGTAGTGGCGGCGGCGGCGGTGGCGGCGGTGGCGGTGGTGGCGGTGGTGGCGGTGGCGGTCGGAGCGGTGGTAGTGGTGGCGGCGGCGGTGTGAGTGGAGGCACTGGCTCGGGCCAGAGCTCCCAGCAGCAGCAGCGTCCCCAGACGACCCAGCAGCTTCGTGAGTGGCTTGCTCAGCGTGGGACGTCGGGGGGCAGTGGCCGCTGTTCTTATGTCATTCGCACAGGTGACCGCAAGGGACAGACGTGTGGGAGGTTCCACACCCCGTACCGCTGCTTCTCCCGCCTTGACGACGCTTGGCGTGAGGAGATGGGCGCGGATGTTGAGCGCCCCCGCTGGGCTGAGCTCATGAGGGCTGGTGTTGATGTCTTTGCTCTTGACTATGATGCTATTATTGCTGCCATGTATGCATTGACTGTTAGTGCCGAGGGAGACTGTTACTTGTGTGTGCCGCCTGACCCAGGTATAGAGCCCGCTGCCCTGGGTACTAGTGAGTCTGCTCTCTCTGGTATGGTGCCCCCTGTACTTGCTCCCCCCAGTGCTGTCCTGGCTGGTTTCGAGTCTGCTCTCTCAGGTACAGCACCCACAGAGACTGCTCTCTCAGGTACCGCACCGGCTGAGGCCTGTCACACCTTCACCCTTGACTCAGGTGCTTCCCGTTGCTTCTTTCGTGACAGTACTGAGCTCACACCGCTTCCTGCACCGGTCCCAGTCTCCTTGGCTGACCCCTCTGGGGGCCCAGTCCTTGCCCAGTCCACCACTGTCCTCCCTTGTCCGGCGGTTCCGTCTGGCTCGTTGTCGGGTTTCCACCTCCCCTCGTTCTCGACGAACCTGGTGAGCAACGCTGTCCTCCAGGATCAGTGGGTTGACACCTTTACCCCTGGCGGACAGCGTGTGGCGATCTGCACGTGCTCCAGGACCGGCCGTCACCTGGCTACGTTTACCCGTCGGCCGGGGTCGAGTCTCTACACACTGACCACTGCGTCTCCTCAGGTCGCTGCTGTCGGTCAGGTGTCTGCGTCAGGTCTGGTAGCCCACGCCTGTGAGTGTCGTTCCCTGTCGCACCAGACTCTTCTCTGGCACCACCGCCTGGGTCACCCCTCCTTGCCACGCCTTCGTGGCATGCACCGTCGCCACCTTGTGTCTGGTCTTCCCAGGTCCCTCCCTCCCCTCCCTGCCTCGCCTGCGCCGCCTTGCCTTCCTTGCGTCGAGGGGCGCCAGCGCGCCGCTCCTCACTCCTCCTCGTTTCCCCCGACAGAGGCTCCTCTGCAGACCCTCCACCTGGACGTGTGGGGCCCAGCCCGCGTTCGTGGTCAGGGCGGTGAGCGGTACTTTTTGCTGGTTGTCGACGACTACTCGCGTTACACCACGGTCTTCCCCTTGCGCACCAAGGGTGAGGTCCCTGCTGTCCTGATCCCTTGGATCCGCACGGTTCGTCTCCAGCTCCGCCGCCGTTTCCGGACGGATCTTCCTGTCCTGCGTCTGCACTCTGATAGAGGTGGTGAGTTTTCCTCCGATCTCTTGAGGACCTTCTGTCAGGCGGAGGGCATCGAGCAGACCTTCACGCTTCCGGACTCCCCACAGCAGAATGGGGTTGCTGAGCGCCGCATTGGCCTGGTCATGGAGGTCGCTCGTACCTCCTTGGTCCACGCGGCGGCTCCCCATTTTCTGTGGCCGTTTGCTGTCCGGTACGCCGCGCATCAGCTCAACCTCTGGCCCCGTGTCTCCTTGC